AAAGAAAGAAAGAAAAGGAAAAGAAACGAGGCCGTTGCAAAATGAGAAAAGGAGTTTACTGAATGCAAGGATTTCACAATAGGGAATGGTTTTTGATGAAGCTTGGCTTTCCCCTATCTCTTGGTTTCCTGATCCCTGACTCCCTCTTAGGGCAGGGACACCTATTGCCTTAATTATCCCTCAGGGATTTTTTCCCCTCATCTCTGAAATTATGTCCTTAGGAGCTCTCCAAGAAGAGATTCCAGACTTATCAGAATTTTCCTTTTTTTTTTTTTTTTTTTTTTTTTGAGGACGGACGTCTCGCTCTGTCGCCCAGGCCTGAGTGCAGTGCCGGATTTTCAGCTCACTGCAAGCTCGCTCGCCGGTTCACGGCATTCTCCGCCTCAGCCTCCCGAGTAGACGGGACTACAGCGCCGCGGCCACCCTCGCCCGGCTAAGTTTTCATATTTTTTTAGTAGAGACGGGGTTTCACCGTGTCAGCAGGAGGTCTCGATCTCCGTGACTACGGTGATCCGCCGTCTCGGCCTCCCAACAGTTGCTGGATTACAGGCTTGAGCACCCTGCGCCGGCCTAATTTTCTTTTTCTTTCTTTTTTTTTTTTTTTGGTCACAACGGCTTGTTTCTATTGGAAAACCCCAGACCTTACTCCCTATAACCCTCCCTTATTCTAATCCCTTTCCCCGTTTGTCCCCCCAACTCCATCTCCAAAGACGATTTCACGTTGAGCCAAAGTTAGCTTTTACAAACTCTGACTTCTCATGTTCCTCAGGCCCAGCAAAGCCTGGAACTCCACCTTAGGGAGATTGTTACTGCGACTATCATCTCCTGGCAGCCTTGGTTTATGTAGTTAACATGTTGGGCCTTTCTTGGCTCTACTCTATGGTTGTGCAGACTTTCTGTGAGGATGCTGAAGTGACCCGAGCGAGCCTGAGGGAAGGGCTAGCCACAGAGATCATGGACCTAGGGGGCGCTGAAAATAGGGATTATTAGGGCACGATCCCTGTTAGGAAGCGCCAGCGTTAAAGGCTAAGGAGACACAGCGCCCCCTAAAGAGGGTGCGGTTTAAAATCGCTAAATCAGGCCGACAATATCACGTGTTCCCGGTCCTACCAATTGAAAATTAACAATCGCTTCCTCCGTTCCCCATGGAAACAACCCCGCCCCACCGACCCTCCCGCCCTAATAAGTCGTGAGGTTTTGGCGTTTTATTGAGTATTCAAACTGACAATCAAACACCTGTGCCTTCTGGTTGGATACTCTGCTTCCGGTAAGCAAGTTAGTACAATAATTGGTCAACAGAGCAAGTCTTACCCAATGATCCTTATCCTAGGCAGGGCCTAATGGGGACGTATGGCCAATCAGCGGTGGCGTTACTTTTGCGGCTCCACGTCGGCACCAGCTGCGGGGCAAGATGGAAGCGCTGATTTTGGTAGGAGCTGGAGGGGCAGCAGAGATGCTGTGCTGTCCACAGGGGCCGGGAGTCAGGGTGCAGCCCAAGTGGGAGACGGGGAAGGAGAGTTCCGGGTAATTCTTGGGGACTGACGGTTCTGCCGACCCTTGGAATAAGTGTGTGGCCTAGTGTAGGAGCTAAAGCCTTGGTTTAGAGTAGGAAGCCCTGCGGGGGAGAGGGCATAGAGTCGGTGGAAAGTTAAAGGTAGCACATGGACTCCTTAGGATACACAGACCTGTAAGCGTACTGGATTAGGACTCTTCAGGTTTCCCCTTATTTTTAGCATTGTGGATGATATCCTGATTTTAATTTACCCAAACCACCAAACTAGCCCCATATTGTAAGAAAAGAATACAGATGTTTTGTCGTTACAGGCTCCTCCTGATGGTTTCCCAAGTTTGACTCTCCATTGCTGATTCCCTGCCACATTCTTTCAGGAAACTGTTTTCTCTTGGGTTTCCTATTAATCCCTATTAAATAGGTTTGTCATGATAAAGAATCAGTGTTTCATCAAAGTTCTGGGATACCTGATAAAGTTAGCATGGATTGTGGAATATTTTTTCCAGACTCCTTATTCTGTTCTCCTTTTCTCTACCCATTGGACCTTAGGAATTCTTTTTTTTTTTTTTTTTGAGACCGAGCCTTGCTCTGTCGCCTACACTGGAGTGCACACGTGGCACGATCTTGGCTCACTGCAATCTCCGCCTCCCGGGTTCAAGCTATTCTTCTGCCTCAGTCTCTTGAATAGTTGGGACTATAGGCGCTTGCCACCATGCCCGGCTAATTTTTTTTGTATTTTTAGTAGAGACGTGGTTTTACCATGTTGGCCAGGCTGGTTTCGAACTCCTGACCTCAAGTGATCCGCCGGCCTCGGCCTTCCAAAGTGCTGGGATTACAGGCGTGAGCCACCGCGCCTGGCCAGGAATTATTTTATTTTATTTATTTATTTATTTATTTATTTATTTTTGAGACGGAGCCTCGCTCTGTCGCCTAGCCTGGAGTGCAGTGGCGCGATCTCGGCTCATTGCAATCGCCGCCTCCCTGGTTCACGCCATTCTCCTGCCTCAGCTTCCCGAGTAGCTGGGACTACAGGCGCCCACCACCTCGCCCGGCTAGTTTTTTGTATTTTTTTTTAGTAGAGATGGGGTTTCACCGTGTTAGCTAGGATGGTTTCGATCTCTTGACCCCGTGATCCCCCCGTCTCGGCCTCCCAAAGTGCTGGGATTACAGGCTTGAGCCACCGCGCCCGGCCAATTTTTTGTATTTTTTAGTAGAGATGGGATTTCACCGTGTTAGCCAGGATGGTCTCGATCTCCTGACCTCATAATCTGCCCGCCTTGGCCTCCCAAAGTGCTGGGATTACAGGCGTGAGCCACCGCGCCTGGCCAGGGATTCTCATTGTATGATCTAGGATGCTAATTTCTCCCTTTCTGGTTACATGAGAATTGTGGTCGCTACAAGGAGTGTATTAGCCCTCTTGTCCATATGATGCTTTATGCTTGTTCTAACAAATAAAATACCTGTTACCCCTTATTTAGAACTGAACCAGATAATTTCTCTCAAAAGTGCCCTATTCTGCGATTTGGAGGGGTGTGTGTGTGTGTATGTGTGTGTGTGTGTAGGTAGGTAGGTAGGTAGTATAATGTAGGAATTTAACTCCCAGCCTCCTTCCTTAATTGGCTTGAACTCCAGGCCTCTTTCCAAAGAAGCTTGTCTTTTATTTTCCTTTAGATCTCCTATGCATACATATTCAGATCCTCGTCAGATAAAAGAATAACAGTTTTTTTTTTTTTTTTTTGAGACAGAGTCTCGCTCTGTCACCCAGGCTGGAGTGCAGTGGCCGGATCTCAGCTCACTGCAAGCTCCTCCTCTCGGGTTCACGCCAAGGAATAACAGTTTTTAATTCCTCTCTTTCAGAATGTTAAAGACAGATAATTCCTTATGTCGGTTGGTCAAAATAAAAAGCTTAAAATCTGAGTAGTTTTAAAATATTTTCTGTACCAGGCAGTTAACAAATATTCTTTTTTTTTTTTTTTTTTGAGATAGAGTCTGGCTGGTTACTCAGGCTGGAGTGCAGGTGGACTGATCTTGGCTCACTGCAACCTCCGTCTCCCAGAATCGAGCCAATTCTCGTGTTCAGGCCTCCGAGTAGCTGGGAATTACAGGCACGTGCCACCATGCCCAGCTAATTTTTGTATTTTCAGTAGAGACAGGTTTCACCATGTTTGCCAGGCTGGTCTGGTCTTGAACTCCTGACCTCAAGTGATCTGCTGCCTTGGGCTCCCAAAGTGCTGGGATTACAGGTGTGAGCCACTGCACCTGGCCAGTTAGCAAGTAGTTTGTTTTTTTTTTTTTTTTGGAGACAGAGTCTCACTGTGGTCATCCAGCCTGGAGTGCAGTGCTGTGATCTCAGCGTCAACTGCAGCCTCGTGCTCCGGTGTTGAAGCAATTCTCCTGCCTGAGCCTCCCGAGTAGCTGGGACTACAGGCACACACTGCCACGCCGGCTAATTTTTTTGTATTTTTAGTAGGAGACGTTTCACTGTGTTGCCCAGGCTGGTCTTGAACTCTTGAGCTCAGGCAGTCTGCCTGCCTCAGCCTCCTAAAGTGCTAGGATTACAGGAGTGAGCCACTGTGCCCAGCAGCAAGTATTCTTTTTGTTTTTTTTTTTTTTTTTGGAGACAGAGTCTCCACTCTGTTCGCCCAGGCTGAAGTGCATGTGCGTGATCTCAGCTCCACTGCAAGCTTCGCCTCCCAGGTTCATGCATTCTGCACTGCCTTCAGGCCTCCGCGAGTAGCTGGGACTACAGGCGCCCCACCACCACACCCAAGCTAATTTTTTGGTAAGTTTTAGTAAGATGGGTTTCACCATGCTAGCCAGGATGGTCTCGATTCCCCCGAGCCGCCGCCTCAGCCTCCCACCATGCGGGATTACAGAATGGTGAGCCACGGTGCCTGGCACGGGCGCAGATATTTCTTAATAAGGAGATTGAATTCATGGCTCACGCCTGTAATCCCAGACTAGAGAGCTGAGCAAAGGATTGTGCGTTGAGCCAGAAGTGTGACTCAGTGACTAATGGCCAGTCACTCCAGCCTGGGTGACAAAAACCAACCCATCTCTAAAAATAAGAATAAAAAACTGCCCCAAACCCAGAACACTAATAGATTCTAGGAATTGATGTCTTTGGGATTTTGTATTATATTACGTATTGTTTGAGACGGAGTCTCGTCTGTGGCCCAGGCTGGATGCAGTGGCGATCTCAGCGTCACTGGCAAGCTCCGCCTCCCAGTTTCACGCCATTTCTCCTGCCTCAGCCGTCCCAAGTAGCTGGTAGTACAGGCGCCTGCCACCTGTGCCCAGCTAGTTTTTTATTTGTTTTAGGTAGAGACGGGGGTTTCACCGTGTTACCAGGGATTGTCCTTGGATCTCCTGACCTCATGTGTCACCCGCCGTCGGCCTCCCAAAGTGCTGGGTTACAGGTTGAGCCACTGCGCCGCCTCTTAAATTGTAGACTTAGCCTATGTATATTTAAAGGGCGCTGTTGTGAAAGGTAAAGGAATGAGGAAGTAATACTTTGGGGACCTTTTAACAATGGGCCTGTGTGTAAAGTGTAAGTTGGGGGAGTTGTATGTGAAAGTATCTCTGTCAGGCGCAGTGCAGTGGTTCATGCCTGTAATCCCAGCACTTTGGGAGTCCGAGGCAGGTGGATCACGAGGTCAAAGAGATGGAGACCATCCTGGCCAACATAGTGAAACCCTTGTCCTACTAAAAATACAAAAATTAACTGGGCATGGTGGTGTGGTGCCTGTAGTCCCAGCTACCTGGGAGACTGAGGCAGGGAATCGCTTGAACCAGGAGGCAGAGGGTTGCAGTGAGTTGAGATCGTGCCACTGCACTCCAGCCCGGGCGACAGTGTGAGACTCCATCTCAAAAAAAAAAAAAAACCGGGCAATGGTGGCTCACGCCTGTAATCCCAGCACTTTGGGAGGCCGAGGTGGGTGGATCACGAGGTCAGGAGTTCAAGACCAGCCTGACCAACATGGTGAAACCTGGTCTCTACTGAAAATACAAAATTTAGCCGGGCGTAGTGGGCAGACGCCTGTAATCCCAGCTACTCAGGAAGCTGAGGCAAGAAGAATCACTTAAACCTGGGAGGCAGAGGTTTGCAGTGAACCGAGATTGTGTTCACTGCCACTCCAGCCTGGGCGCCAGAGCAAGACTCCGTCTCAAAAAAAGAAAGAAGAAGAAAAAGTCTCTCTGTCACATTTCTCTTCCCTTAGTTCTCTGTCTCTGCTTCCTCAGTGAAGTCTGTTTCAGCCTGCTTCTGCCTTATTCTTCTGCTTTAATCTATGCCTAATAGGCTGCATTGACAGATCGCTGCTAACTTGGTCAGGTAACCCTGGACTTTGCTTTTAAAACCACACTGATTCTTTGTTATGGCAAACCTATGTAGTGCTGTTAGGGACAATCTGATCAAAGCATATTCTTTTGTCCTTATCTCTACAAGGTACATACATAGCTGCAGGATGTTGAGAAAAAGGGACGGGTAAGATACAAGGGGTCAAGAAGAACTGTTGATCAAAGTTGCATTGATTGTGGAATTTCTAAATAACAATAGGTTCCCTTCGTTTAGGTACTTTACAATGGGTCACATTTCTTTCTTGAATTAAGTAATCCAGCTATAGCTTTCAAGCAGATTTGTCGAATCTCTCTTGGGTTTCCTTAGGCTCTAAGGAAAGAGACCCTTTCATCTCTTTTAGTTCCCAGTACTTAATAATAGTGATCTCAGCCTACATCTTTGGACTTGGCTTCTTCTCTCTTGCTGTTTCTGCTGGGTCTTCCTTTTTGAGTTGCAAATGGAGAGGATCTCTGCAGGTCACCATTCTCCATTAATAACCTATGGAATCTTAAAGATAAGGATTTCCCCTTCCTCCTTCCCTCTTTACTTTTTTTCTTTAAAGCTGAATTACTGGGCTGGG